GGTTCAAACAGTTTACTGTAGTGATTGGATTAACTGCATTTAGTCTTCTGTACCTTGACTATCAGACAGTTCTATCATAACATCCTCCACGAAAGCATCGCTTCTAAAGCATAAAGAGTCGCGAGCATCATTATAATAGATTAATCAATGAAATCAATCTTTAATATTCACAGAATCTTTCATCAGTTAAACTATCCACTCCCAACGGAAAGTTTATTTGAGCTTGAGCAGAAATTCATATGCCATCTAATTTAAATATGCCAATAGTTTGGCTGTCAGACACTTTTTTCCCTAACAATCTCATGATATCTCAACAATAAAAGCATAATTTTAAAACTAAGAAAATTTAATGATACTTCATATTTTATCTTTACTTTTATTGCACCTCATCAATTAAGAAACTTTTATGTGTTAAATTTCATGACTACGGTGTTTATCATTAGCTTTTATTAACAGCAACGAGTATTTCTTAATTTTTTTTAGCAAGAAACATATCTTTTAAATATACAGTACTATTCCGTTTTAGGGACCGTAAAAAAATTGCAGTGAAAATGTATGCGCAAAAGCGCCAAATCTAGTAAACATGCCCATTTAACAGTGCACCAAATCTAGTGTACGTGCTGATTTCAGATTGCAGAAGTTTATATAGTTCTATATTTCTTAAGATGCCACTGAAATACTAGTTTAATTTTTAAATCCTTTTTTGATACCTTATAGATTTAACAATTTGGAAACTGCCCATGATGAAAATTCTGCAATATAATTTTGGGTAAAGTGCAGAATCACCCACTGCTTGACGCATTTTTAAGAATTGCACACTCGGTATCCATGTACACATCGACCTATTTTCACCTAAAAAAAAAATCCCAGAATTGACACACACACACAAAAAAAAAAAAAAAAAAAAAAAAAAAAAAAAAAGACACTGTGCACACCCTTGACTTTATCTATGTACACATCAACCTATTTTCACTTAAAAAGTAAAAGAAAATTGAAAAAATTCCAATTGTTTTTACCCTTGTAAAAAGCGGCAAACAAATAAGTGAGCCATTCTGCACTTTACCGAGATTTTTTTCAAAGAAAAGGCATCATTCATTATAGAAAATTATGTTTGAACAACCAACGAGATGAAATTAGGCTTTAGCGATAACTCGGTAGCAAAATAGCGATGCAGGCATCCATTCAGTTATGTTTAGCAATTTTTATATAACTTATAATAATGATCTGAAATAGTTATTTACTCTTATACTTCCATTCAATCATGTTTAGCCCTTTTTTATATAAATTATAATAATAAAAAGTATTATATGAAATTAATCTTTCATCTAAATTTAAAACATCAATCTTATATAGTTATTTACTATTATACTTCCTTTCTTGCATTAGGGTTGCCCCAATTATTTTTGGCAGCACTGGCATCAACAATAGTTTGGCGATTTTTGACGGCCCTCAAAACTGAATAGTCCCAAATATACTTTTATATCGATCCCATTAGAGTCAATGGAACAAAACTAAATTTGGTACTATTCCGTTTTGAGGACCGTAAAAAATTTGCAGCGAAAATGTATGCGCAAAAACGGCAAATCTAGCAAACGCGCCCATTTAAACAGCGCACCAAATCTAGCGTACGCTCTGATTTCAGATTGTGTAAGTTTATATAGTTCTATATTTCTTAAGATGCCATTAAAATACTAATTTAATTTTTAAATCCTTTTTTGATATCCTATGGATTTCACAATTAGGGAATTGCCCACGACGAAAAGCCTGCAATAGAATTTTGGTAAAAGTATAGTTTAGGGTACCCCTTGGTGAAACTTGGCAATTTTTGGCTGTACATGGATACCGATTTTGTGCAATTCTTTGACTCATTATTTTGGCTTGCGAAGCGCCGCTACACAAAGCCAAAATAACAAGACAAACAATTGCACAAACCCAGTATCCATGCACACATCGACTTATATTCACTTAAAAAAAAAAAAAAAAAAAAAAAAAACGAATTGCACAAAAATGGCATTGCACACTTTTACCTTTATCCATGTACACGTCGACCTATTTTCACTATAAAAAAAATCCCAGAATTGCACAAACTTGCATTGCGCACTCCCTTTACTTTGTCCATGTACACATCGATATATTTTCACTTAAAAAGTCAAAGGAACACCAAAGGCACAATACAGGTGAACAAAAAATACATAATCTCAATAAAATACATTTTAAACCAAACAATAAAATAACGTAAAAAAGGAAAAACATGTTATACATTTAAGCACTACCAAAAGCAAATATTCACTTACCATGATTTTCGAGTTCGCTTCGTACACCCAAAGCCACATAAAAATCAAAATATCAATCATACTTAAATGATTTTTTTCAAACCAGGTACTCTTTCTGATCTCCGAACGCTTCACATAGTGACCAGCTGAACCTTTCTTCCTACAAACCCATTCAAATCCATCTAAACAGTTTTAACACACACCACAAAAGTGCTTACAAAACATCCCGTGATTCAAAATTTCCCAGAATCATGCACCCGATTATATCACAATAGGGTTTTCAACTACTCAGGCTACCATAAATGAAACAACAACTTGGCAATAAATCAAACAACAACTTCGCGATAAATCAAACAACAACTTCGCCATAATACAAGGGGTACCTTAAAGTCCACTTTACCCAGAATTTTGAGTAAAGTGCAGAATCACCCACTACTTGACACGTTTTTAAGAATTGCACATACTCGGTATCCATGTACACATCGATCTATTTTCACTTAAGAAAAAAATTCTCAAAATTACACTAAAATGGCACTGTGCACACCCTTGACTTTATCTATGTACACATCGACCTATTTTCACTTAAAAAGTAAAAGAAAATTGACAAAAATCCAATTGTTTTTACCCCTGTAAAAAGCGGCAAACAAATGAGCGATTCTGCACTTTACAGAAAATATTTTCAAAGAAAAGTCATCATTCATTACAAAAATTACTTTTGAACAACCAACGAGATGAAATTATGCTTTAGCGATAAGTGGGTAGCGAAATAGCGATGCAGGCATCCGTTGAGTTATGTTTAGCAATTTTTATATAAATTATAATAATGATCTGAAATAGTTATTACTCTTATGCTTCCATTCAGTCACCTTCACCTTTTTATATAATTATAATAAAAAAAGAGTATATATGAAATTAATCTTTCATCTAAATTAAAACATCAATCCTAGTTATGTACTTGTATACTTCCTTTCTTGCATTAGGGTTGCTACAATTATTTTTGGCAGCACTGGCATCAACAATAGTTTGGCGATTTTTTAAGGCTCTCAAGACCGAATAGTACCCTAAATTTCTTTACGTCAAAATCAATTAATTACATTAGAGTTAGCCAGAACAATTTGTTTTCAATCTTCCACAAAGAACTCAAAATTTTAAACCTCCTTTTTTAGTCCTCTAAAACTGAAAATTTATTTTATTGTTTCAATATAAACAATAGAATTATTAAAAACATTTATCTTGCCTTATATCTTTACATCCCAATTGACAAAGAATGAGCCAATATATTTAATCCTTCAGCATCTGCTTCAGAAATAATTTTAAATGAAACAACCCATACAGTTCCCGTGCAACAAGAGTGTGAATACAAGCCAAAACGTCGATTCATACGTCTCATTTATTGGAAAATTTTACACACACAAGAAAAAGCAATAACTAATAATATGGTACATTTCATTTTCAATCATCCTTGTTTATTCTTTGGATGCTATTCCAAAAGGCATTTACGAAATTGCAAAACTCAGCAGTTATGTCGCAGTCTATGTTCAGTTAGTGCACTTTGGCAAGTATGTTATGACTAAAAAGTAAAGAGCTGAAGTCAAACTAATGAGAGACGGCAAAGAACAACTAATGTCAGAAGTGTAATATTTTCTATGAAAGTTTAGTCTATTCAATTCGTTAAACAAAATGTAATTAGTTCCTTTCAGTAAAAAATTTTAATGTTAGGAAATATATACACTACTGTGAAAGCTTTGTGTCTTTTGAGAATAAATTAATGCTATTAGGTTTTTATCTTTATCTTTTTTTAGCTGGATTGTTTATAACACATTCTTTTAACTGATGTATTTCGAAATTAAAATTTAAAAATCTTAAGTTTTAAAAATAAATTTCTGAATTTTTCATCGAATAGCTAATTAGCTATTTCTATATATAGCTATTCTATTTGCTCACCTGAGGCAAGTGCCTCACCTGCCTCACCCTCGTCCCGGCCCTGTGTCCTCGTTTTATTTCGAATTAAAATGTAGTTTATTGAGATTGCAATTTTTCTGATAATCTGATCTGAAATAGTCATTTACTCTTATGCTTCCATTCAGTCATGTTTAGCCTTTTTCATATAAATTATAATAATAAAAAGTATATTGAAATTAAACCTTTCATCTAATTAAAAATCAATCTTAGATAGTTATCTACTATTATACTTCCTTTCTTGCCGCTATTATTTTTGGCAGCATTGGCATCAACAATAGTTTGGAGATTTTTTACGGCCCTCGAAACCGAATGGTACCCATAAATCTAATAAAATATTTTTTCAAAACATTTGTTTATATTTTTTGTCTTATTGTTATTATGTGCAATTATTTATGTTACGATTATGTTGTATGCTGTGTATTATAGAGAAGAATAGACTTTAAGATTCACAATAAAGAACAGTGCAATACAATTTATATTCTTACTGAAGCAAATTTATCTAGAGCTGAATTCACAATGAAGATGAATGTTTTGTAGTAATTTTGAATATCATTAGGAATTTTTAGCCACTTGAATGACTGGCACAAATTTTAATAAAATTATTTGTCAGAAGCTTTTACTTACATTCTTTTATAAGCTGTATTAGTGATTTGTATCTGTTGAATATACAGCTAAATAAAAAGTGATCTGTGATTATGTAACAAAGCAATACTTAAAAGTTTTCACAAGATGTAATAGTTCTACGACTGAAAAGCTCTATCTCACCTTCCCACTCTGCTGGCAGGCTTTGTTGCCAATCATCTTTTTCTTTAGGGACGAACCAACGTGTTGGAGTTTTTCTTAGGCCTCCTTTCCCTTTATGAAAAAAGTTTAAACTTCAGAAAAATAGGAATAATAAAACAACAATCAAGTTACATACTCTACATAACAGAATAGACTACATAACAGACTCTACAGAATATTACATTTCATTTACTAAAATGTTTAACAAAGAATGCTTCAGCAGGAAAAGAAAAATTAACTATGAAATAAAATACTTTACAAAAATTTTATTGATGTGTGAAAAATAAACAGTGGAAACGAGGGAGGAAGTCTGCTTATTATGGCATAATAAGCATTATAAAGGGTCACTTGGAAACGGTATTAAAACATTTTGATAGTAATGCAGAACAAAGTCCAAAATCCAGATGTCAATTATCCAGATCACCAGAAATTTTGGCAAAAATAGAGAAAGAATTAGATTTTGAGAGTACTGTCTCACTTACTGGTTTTAGCATATGCTAAACACTTCATGCACAGACAGTAGACATTTTTTCATATAGCAGAGCATATGAAGGGTCCTGACTCTTAATTTCAGTTTGACACTAAATAAAACACTCCACATTTAAGAAACACATCCATTCATAAGCATAAATTTATATGATCAATAATTTGGTTCCACAGTTCCCTTTTTGCTTGGCATACATCTCAAGGCAAAACAGTCTAAACATGATCGCTGACACACCTAGTATTAAATAACGTATATTCCTTAGCCAATAATTTTTATTGTTTTTGCTTTTATCAACGTGTGACTATTCAGTTCATGACAGCTTAAGAAATGACTGACACAGAGATTTTTAAAACAATTTTTTTCCAATATTAGCAATTAAATATAAAACAGCATGGTAACCTTGTATGTTGGCAAGGAGAAATTTAAAAGAAATTTTGGCTAATCTTTGGAATATGGTAACTGGTAGTTTGGCGACATTTTGGTAAGGTGTTAAAGGTTACTAGCTAGGACTTTAGCAGTGTACATGGATAAAGTTAAGAGTGTACGCAATGCCATTTTTGTGCAATTATGGGATGTTTCTTTAAGTGAAAATAGGTCGACGTGTACATGGATACCGTGCATGTGCAATTCTTAAAAACGTGGCAAGCAGTTTGAATTTCTGCACTTTCTCCCAATTTCGCACCTAATCTTCATCATGATTAAGCACTTTTGTTCCATAAAACTTCTAGCATAAGCGTAATTCGGTTAGCAGATTGTTGGAAAAAAATGTTGAGCTTAAAAAAAAAAAAAGAAAACATGCCTTTACTTCGTGAAAACAAAAACTAGCAGGTTGCTAGGGTTGGTCGCCAAATTTTCGCCAAGTTACAATAATCCAAAGATTAACCGAAATTTCTATCCATAAGCAAAAAATAAGCCAAAAGATTACATTTAGTGCTGTTTGAATTAAGAATACCTAATTTATTAGTCAGATAAGTATAATTCAGGAATTTATTCAGGTCTCAGATATGTATATGCAGAAAATAAACATAAGTATAAAAAATAACTAATATAATCCAAGGATTAACTTGATAGAATCAAGACAAAATTTAGCGGAATTACGTCTTTAGTTATCAATCTCGTGGCATACTGCCAACCGTATATAGAGGGGGTTTAGTTAAGGAATTCAGCTATGCCAAACCAAGACACTGAAATTTGTAGTATGGTTCTACATCCAGAAAATATCGCTAACGATAGTGAAGAAAAGTAACAAACAGGCTGCTGAGAACAAAAAAATTTTGATCCGCAGTTTAGTGGGAATAACAGGACAAGATAACGGAACTTTATAATTAAACAGGAAATTATGTGTATTTATAAAAATAAAGTATTAGCATACACAAAAAAATGTATCTTAAACAACTCGTATTGAAAGAAATGTTTAATAAAGTCAACAAATAAATATTGAGCTTTTTTTATAATTTTTATTTCCTTAAGATCATATATGCTTCATTTTTTCATAAACAACTATTTCATATTTTTTATTTCATAATTTCTACATTTCATCTTACTAGATTTACACTGATGATCTAAAATCTGGAAAATTCCAAAATGTGAAATGACAGAAGTTCCGACAAATCTATTATTATAAAATTTAATAGTTCCTGATTATTCACATTCCCAATGAAAATTAACAAAAAAGTATTCACGAGGCAAAGCAATGTGTCATCAAAATAGTTACATGGGAACCCACTATGTCAAGAAAAAGTATTTATGTGAGAACCCCAGTATGTCTGTTTTGGTTAGTTTACAATGCCAAATTTGTGTAAGTCTGACCTTTTAAATAAAAACAGACTGCTGTGTATACAGGGAGAACAGTACTGCAAAAAAGGATTTCTCAAAATAGTTTAAGTATTTTATTACTGATGTTTCTTGCCTTTTTTTATACTTATTGATTGCTCGTTAGTGTGCGGGTATTTTGAGAACTGGTATTGCCTTTTGTGCATTAGCTTCTTTTCATGTTAATCAAAGGGAGGAGGACATTGTAATGAGATGCAAAGTTGTACATTCAATTATTTCCTTGTGATATAAGAAGAAACTGCTGTTATTTATTAGTCTAAGTACAGTGGTGTAGCTAGGGTGGGGCAAGGGGGAACATCTGTCCCCGGGCGCAGCATCCAAGGGCTGCCAAATTGATACTACAAATTCTTGGAACACAGGAAGGGTCACTGAAAATCTTAGCTATGATTCTGTCTAAGTATCAAAATAAAACACAAGACTATAAGTCAGAAATATAAATTTTGTGGGAGAATATTCAGAACTTTCACTGCATAATATGTATACAAGCTATTTTCCTTTAAAAAGTCGGCCATAAAGGTATCCCTCCCCTTAATGTCCATGTGCTTAGAGGTATTTAAAACCTGTCAGGATTTTTGAGTTAACGTTGATATGGGAATGTTTCATGAAATTCTTTTACTCATAAAATCTTCAAAGTTAAAAAAAAAAGTTCATAAAATCTTTGTAACTCTTTAATCTATTATTTTCTGAATCTGTCCATACATACATGGTTATCATTATAATTAATATAACAATTATATGCCTTTTCTCTCTGCGAATGCAGAAATTTTGCTAATTTTAATTTCTGTTGAAAGACACTTTGTAATCTTTCCATTCTTACATGATGTAGGCACAGGGAAAAAAAAAAAAAAAATTAAACCGATCCAGAGATATCTGATAATGTGAATCAAAATTTGCTTTAACAGTGAACAAAGCAGTGACCAATACACGTTGAAATTCAAGCTCGTGCAATTATCTGCCTCACACAAGTATCCAAAAAGGGTCACTGCAAGCACCAAACAAACAAATTTTTCATCAAACAATAAACAGACAATTCCAAGGAAAAGATAAAATGATCAAACAGAAATTTAAATCAGCTATTTGTAAGATTTTCAGAATGGATATTATGTCTCAGAGTTTTACTTTTTATTAAAACGGGACTGCTGGTAGACCCATGCAGACAGTTGTATTATTCATTCAAGATAACCTATTATGGTAAAGCATGAAAGAATCAACCCCATCTTAGCAAGTGGGTAAAAACTGGCTCGTATTCACATAACATGAGATGAAAATAATAAAACCCTATTTAGATAGACCATTCACTGGGAAAAAGCAAGAATGAACTACTAGTGTTCAGAAGACTTATCCATCCCAATTGAGCTTCCTATGACTGCGCTTCAAACCTTGCTTTAGAGCGGATGACAACATTGTGCCTGCCCGATTCTTAACTCAACCTCTTCTGCGGACTAAGTACCAAAGAGTCTCACGCGCTTACAGCCAAATAACATTAAGCAACAGAAAATGATAGTTTCAGTTGCAAGGAGAAAGGTAAGTCTCTAAAGTGCAGTGATTGTCCCACCGTTGATGCTTTAAGCTGCTACAGCGCATATTACAATAACTTGCTTACCCTTTCTGCATTAACGTTTTGAAAGATATAACTTCAGTGCATAATACAGTACACATATCATTAAAGGTAAGAAATTAAGTTAATCTCGTACCTTTAATTAATAAATAATTTCGCACCTTTATTAATAAATAATAAATTTGTGAATGTATTCTGAACACATTATCTCACAGTTCGATTGCACATACAAAAATGAAGAACTAACTTGGAGGGCTTTCAAAATATTTGTTTCCATAGTGATCTTCGCCAACATGTATTTGCTTTTGAAAAGGTACCCTAAGGGATTGAAAAAAATTACTTGCTATAGTACGCCATACACTTCTCCCTGACGACATCTCACGTTCACTACTTTTTTTAGCAGCAAGTTGCCAGATACTACAATTCACTTTTTACCGTTACTGAAGTTTAAATTTCCCACAAATCATCGTTCATATCTCTTATTATTTTATTTTATTTATGTGTTTATTATTTTATTTATTTTTTTGCAAAATGATCGCTTTCTCTTCCATATCATTTTAACTGGTGCGACACCGGGGTGTTCAATCTTGAGGATCAAATCCCATTGAAAAAATTCAAACCTTTGAATCTGTTACTTCGATATAGAATTGTTAAGTCCGAATAACTCTGCAGGATTCTGCATGATGAATAAGGTGATATCAGGCGCACTGAGTCTCACAAATGCAAAATAAAAAAAAAAATCTGAACGTCTTCAGATTTTAAAATTACGTCCAAAGGGGCGTTTTTTTAACGCTTTGTGTGCTACCTTTATTTATTAAATATCATGTTCTTTGCACTTAAACCATAAACTTCAGTTCAATAGCAATGTCGCAAAATAATTTTAAAATGAGCATATCTTTAGAATTCAAAAGCGTTCGACAGGGTATGGCACAAAGGCCTTATATTCAAACTCAGCAAATTAAATTTCCCGGACCATTTCATCAGACTTATTGCCTCCTACCTAGATAACACAACCGTCTCGGTCAAAATTAATAGCAGTCTCTCCTGTAGAAGAAGTATAATTGCACGTGCACCTCAAGGATCAGCACTTTCCCCATATTTTTAAAACATATATATATATACTCACGCTATTCCACGAAATCCATCAATAACAATAGCGCTTTTCGCAGATGATACAGCTTTTTTAACTTACGCCTCCACATTAACTAACGTCTGGCTGCAACTACAAAAGTATCTAAATCAAATTGAAGACTGGCTCACAAAATTGCAAATCGCAATTAATACCCAAAAATCCAAAGCAGTTTTATTTAGAAAAGGCAAATAATGAAAGACCTCCCAAACCTATCATTTTCGAAGAAGAAATAGAATGGATAAACGAAGCAAAATAGCTTGGAATAATACTTGACAATAAACTCACTTTTCGTAAGCAATTTAAAGCAAAAAAACAAAAACTCAATTTCACCAGGGTCAATATGCGTCCTCTCCTAGGAAGAAGAAGCAATCTTTCCTAAAGAAACAAAATCATTCTTTATAACCAAGTTTTAAGACCTGCATTACTCTACGGATGTGAAATCTGGGGTCATGCCGCAAAGAAAAATAAAAACAACTTTAAGTCATTCAAAATAAAACTTTAAGAGAAATCACTGACGCACCCTGATTCCTCCCGAATTCACGACGATCTCAAAGTCAAGCCCATTAACGATTATTTAATAGAAACCGCAGCTAACGTTTTCAATAAAGTCAGAAACCACAATAATCATACAATTGCCTCTTTAAGAAATCGCCCCTCCAATTCTAAGCAAAAATATCCAACGGATATACTAACCGCCCTCAGCAACCAGCAGAAGAGCTTAGCTACCAGGGTCATTGAACCGAGCCAAAGCCGTGTGAAATAGAAGCCTTCCCAACCAAACTGTGACGTCACGCAAGTTGGGGAAACAGTTCGTCGCGATTCCCTTGACCCACCATGTGCTTAAAATGCTTGGTCAAGCAGTCAGTACTATCTTCTACTGTGTGTTTGTGCTCTTCTGGTTCTCTCGGTTTGATTATCAACAACTTGATAATTCTCTCGGATTATTTTAACAAAATATGGTGAATACATGCTGTATTCCGAATTGTAAGGGTAATTATCCAAATGGCCCAATTGTATCTGTTTTTAGTTTCCCAAAATATCCTGAACTGGAGGAAAAGTGGTTAGCAAAGATACCGCGAGATTGAGCCATTACCTCATTCCAAGGTAAGTTTGAGTTTTATTAAAAAAAATTTTCTCTTTTATTTTACCTTTCAAAATGTGGTATTAGTTTTGAATTGATATTAAATTTTAAATAATATTTAAATAAGTATAGAATTCCGATTTTATGATAGAGCATTAATACTTTGGCATAACAAATTATTACTTATTCAAGATACTAATAATAAGTAATTTAAATTACGTTTTACTTATATTTGTTATTCTTAAAATAAATTAGTTTCGCTTAAGTCAGTTTATGATAAATAAATGTAGTGAAAAGAATGAAATCCATATCTGTAAATATATCTCTTGTCTTTAGTTATGACTATTTGATAGGGTACGAACTGCGCCAAATTTGATCGAAGATACCCGTCCCCCGCTTATTTAATTCACGAACTGTGCGACGTTTCCTGTTCCCTATTTCTTTCCCAAGAAGATTGGGTGCTACAAAAAGTCATTTATCGCCATTAATGGGACATTCTGTTGAGACTGACCTTTATTTTCGTTTATCAATATAGTAAAAATTGTGCATGCAAAACAAATATTAATTTAAAGTCTGGCGTGTGATAAAGTAAAAATAAATTTCTTTTACACTCATTTTAAAGTTTTATGATGATTAAAGGAATGATGAGCCAGATCTTTTTTATTCTCTGTAAGAATTAAAAACTTTCCAAGTTGTAGATTTTAGTCGCTGATATATATATATACCAGTTTCGAATAGTAAAATTGATAGATTAATGACATACACAAAACTGTTACATAATCAACCTATCAAATGTCACATTTGTAGCGCACCTTAAATAAGTTTCTTATCTAGATAAATATTAACAAACCTTCTTAGATAGCAGAATGGTTTTAACTTTCAAATTTCCCATTTTAGGTAAACAATTCTAATTTAATTAAAAAAATTCTCTTTATTAAATCTAAAAATTAAGCGTCTTAAGTCGTTCTAAATTCACTCTAATATTATTCAAATATATTCCGGATTTTAAGCTTTCCATTTTAGTCATTGAAGTTATTTTAAGGTTATTTAACTTTGTTACAAATTCCATATTTTAATACTAGAACGTTTAAATATTTATTCTGTTTTCCACCTGATGTACTTTGGCATGCATTTACTTCTAATACTCATTTAATATAAATTAATAATTTATGAGCATCAGCAGAATGTTCATAATTAACAAAAAAAAAAAAAAAAAACATCAGGCTCCCTTATATTTATATCCTGGAATTTTCAGTTCCCTTTTAATCGATTCCTTTTCTCTCATATTGTTGCACTGTACTCAAGTTTTCATGTATGTAGTTTATATACTACTTTGTATGTATTAATGCGAATTTAGATTTAAATGATATTTTTTACAAATTCTTGCATTACAACTCTAGTTAATAGAAGATGTTTCTAACACCTTGGCAAGCTTAGTCTTCAGCATGTAGCTTATTTTCTAACCTAGTTTCAGGCTGAATTATTTGTAAAATTAATTACTTGAAATTATTTGTTAACAATGATGGTCGCTAAATCACGCTAATAAGATTTCTAACTATTGTAATTTATAACGCAACGAGTTTGCGTGATTTATAATATTATTCATTTATAATTTTTTCAGCAGTATTGAAATTAATAGCATATACTGATAATATTATACATTTAGGGCCCTAGTCTGGACACCGTCGAGATGGAAGAACGGGTCGTTTTTTGCGATCTACTCGACAGAGAGCGAGTCTGGTGTCATCGTCTCGATCATTACAGAGATCGACGCGTCGGAAATTTTTCCGTCAGTTGTTTAAGTTTCTGACTGTCGTTTTAGAGCTAAAGTGAGGACGGCGGGTAGTTTCTGGAAGTGCACTTAATGGATATTTTAATTTCTTAAGATTTGTGAAAAACTCGAATATTTCACTATAGAAATAACGCATTTGATGCTGACGATTCTAGATTATTTATGTATTCTACAGTAGCAATTCCTTAATTAATTTTAGTGAAAATAATATATTTGGTGTTTTCCTATTTCATTATAAAGAAGGAGTGCATACTTTTAATTTAAAATTTTAATTTTTCAATAATGTATATATCAATGTACTTCATTTCATGTTTGGATGAGTAATTCATAAATTTTGAAATTTTATGTTTTAAATTATAATGTATTCCCTCTACTTTTATTTAATTTGTAGTGTATAAAAATTAATACATTAACACGTGCATTAAAGAATATGCAGTATATAATTCAAATTATTCATATCCTAATTTACATTTACATTAATTTGCTTTGAGTTAAAAAAATTTTAAGTAGTTTTAACTGTATGATATGAAGTCAGTTTCCAAATCTTCTGTATGAACAAGTAAATTCCTGTATAATTTTCGGTTAAATTCTTATAAATATTATAATGCAAGATTTTAATTAGTTGTCAGATTTTTTAATGTGGTCTGCTTTAGATATTACATCAAGTTTTGTATTTTTATTCAGATCTTAAAGTGCTTGGTTTGGTTTTATGTAATACGGCAAAGCCTCGAGGGCTATCTGCCTAAAGTGAGGGTTGCCTTCGTGCAGGACTTTCTAAGGGAAACTAGCTCGTATACACGTAACACATGGGGAAAACCACGAAAACGCCCATGCAGCCAACCCGTTCGCGCGATTCCAACCTTGCACCGAACTTCCAATGTTCAGGGATTTTACCGCTCGGCCACTTGTAGGATCGATTTAAAAAGGGTATAAATAAGAATATGTACTGCAATTTCTTTCACTGCATCTGATAATATATATACACATTTATTTATTTAAAACAGATTTTGCGTGCCTTAACCTTCTATGTTTCTGGAAGTTACCAATGATATGTTGGTAATGAGGCCCATGCAGCCAGTCCGTTTGCTGGATTGCTCGGACCGCATTACCAGTGTTCAGAGATTTTACTGCTTGGCCACTAGTGGAATCGATTTAAAAAGGGCATAAATAGGAATATGTACTGCAATTTCCTTTCACTGCATATGTTAATATATTTATAAAACATTAATTATTTATTTAAAACAGTTTTTGTATGTCTTAAATTTTTATGTTTTTGGAATTTACGAGAAATATGTTTTGTAATGAAGCCCATGCAGCAAGCCCGATCGCGGATTCGAACTCGGTCCGAACTACCAGTGTTCAGGGATTTTACCGCTCGGCCGCTAGTGGGATCAATTTAAAA